TCGCTTAAAGCGTTGTAAGTCAAAAGTCTCACTGAGCTAAAATCAAGGGCTCAGCAGGGCTTTATTCCTCCTGGAGGTCCTAGAGGAGCATCTGTTTTCTTGCCTTGTCTATCTTCCAGAGGCTTTCTGCATTCCCTGGCTCACTGTCACTTCCTCTGTTTTCAAAGCTAGCAGACCCTTGTGATTACATGGGCCACCTGCATAATCCAGGCTGATCTTCCCCTCTCAAGATGCTTAAGTTAATCACATAGTTATGTTACCACATATGGTAACAGTCACAGGCTCTAGGGCTTAGGACATAGACATCTTTGGGGGCCATTACTCTGCCTACCACACCCTCAATCCTCCAATCCAGAAATAATTCTAACTTCTTAGTGTATTTCTTTAGGTTCTTTTTGTTCTGCATGTATGTGTTTTTTTTTTTCTCTTTACAAAATGGTTATTGTGTTGCATATATTGTTTTGTAATCTATGTTTTACCTTTATATTTTTTAAAGATTTATTTATTTATTTGAGAAAAAGAGTGACAGCATGAGCAGGAGGGGGAGAGGGAGAGAGAATCTCAAGTGACTCCATACTGAGTGTGGAGCTTGAAACAGGCCTGATCTCACTCCTGAGCTGAAACCAGGAGTTGGATGCTCAACCGACTGTGCTATCCAGGTCCTCCTGCTTTCAACTATTCTATAAACAGCTTCCTGTTAAATATTCCTCAAAAGCTTGAGTTTTACTGTTTTCATGACATTCAGTTTTATTGCTCTATCATAATTTGCTAAACACATTCTCTATTATTGGAATTTAGGCTATTTGAAAATTTTTGCTGTCCTTAATAATGTTCTGATTAACATATGCATACATAGACCTTTGTGGTCAGTTCCTTGGATATTTCTAAAAAGCAGATTCCTCTTCTTCTTATATTAATTTTGAGTGTGAAAGTAAGTACCACGAAGATATTATTGAAATACATAGTTTTTGAATGGGAAGTTTTCTAATAAGTCAAACAAGCTAAACTACTCACTTCATAGCTGAGAAAACTGAGGATAAGAGAAAGTGATAAGTTAAAGTAATATCATAATTTAGAAAAAGAACTAGATTCAGCTATTTGAAACTTTAGTATGACAAAGAGCATTACAAATAAAACACAAATGACAGGGTTCTGTGTCCAAGTACAGGAGGTGTAGGGGTGGAGCACAGATGTGGCAGGTGAAGAAGACAGCAGGATTGGTGGGGAAGTTGGTACACTGAACAAACAAATAAATTGATTGAGCAAAGAAACAAATACATTGAGGATCAAGAGACTCAGGTTTCTCACTGTTGGAGAAGGTACTTATTTTTAAGTGTGGAAAAGGGGAAGTCTAGAAAGAATCCTGAAGCACTGGATTGGCATTAGAGATATTGGGAGAAATGCATGGTTTTAAAATCTATACACTGATAGACATAGGAATAGTTATAGATGCATTCATTTGTGGGTGTGGGTGTGTATGGTACATATATAATACATATACTTCTGAGCTCCGTCCACTGAGAGTGACCAGAAGCAGTGACACTTCAGTAGCAACGACAGTACTAAGCCCAGATCTTAATACCATCTTCTACTATAAGAACCCAAGGCTCTTGGGTTGATCCTAGGTCTGTGGCAGGGAAAATGTAAGATGAACCTGGAATATCTCTTTGTGATAGAAAGTAAGACAGTGCTCAAAGAATGATGGGGTCATGTTCAAAGGACACAAGAGTGTCCTGAAGTTCTTCCAGTAGTCAAATCTGGAACACTTTGAGCATCAAAATGATGAAAACATCAAAATACAACTGAAGAACGTAGAAACTCATACATCAAATTGGTATAAATACATATATGCATATATACATAAATGAAAGATGGAGAAGGAAAAAACTCTTGTTTGCAGTAGATTGCCAGTTAATAAATATAGAAAACATGATAGAAATAGAGAGTTACCACTATCACAGTGATGGCAGACCCAGGAGAAAACTGGCAATGGTTCCTAAGTTTTGTGGGTGGAAATTTGATGAGGAATAAAATATTGGTGTACTCCTGGAACATCTTTCTACAGAGTATTACTAATCACTGAAAGAGGAAAAAATAATGATTTTATGGTGGAGAAACATGGCTGGAAAAAAGAAGGAAAAGTCACAAATGACAATCTAGAAAAACATATTTGTAAGTTGTATAACAACCAAAGGATAAGAGTTGCTTATGTACAAAGAGCTTCCACAAATCAACATTTGGATTATAGTCCAGTTTAAGTGGGGTAAAAGATATGATAAGGCAATTGAGACAAAATATATAAAGAGGCAACAAACATGAGATGTGCATCATCACGAAAAATCAGAGAAATACTGAGGAAAACACGATAACATTTTTTCCCCTATTAGACTGGCAAAAATGAGATGATAATATGCCAGTCTCTCCATTGGTACCACAAAGCATGCCAACTAGGAAGGAAATTAAGGTGCTTTCTGAATTGATATTACTTGCAAAATGGCTAGAGTATGCCAGTGATTTTGCAAAAAAAAATTTTCATTACATATATTACAGTTATTATAAATAAAAATTTAATATGCTTATATATTCTTATTTATATTATACTTTTGTTATATATATAACTACATCTCATTTTATATATATTTTTATATTATATTATTATATTTTATTTTATATATATACATATATATAAAATACACCTGTATACACACACACACACAGCGCTAATCTACTTCCCTTGCCAATGTAAAAACACCCTTTGGTGTACTCACTAAACACTTCCTCCAGTGTTTTCTATTGAAAATTGTAACACAGATGACCATATATTCAAGTATTAACAGGAAGGGACAAGGAGAGGTCATAATATGATAAAATCACAGATATATGGGTTAATATTTGTTTATCTCATCCATCAAATGATGCCTGAATTCATTCTCTAGAAGTCTTGGCACCACACCTAGTATTTGCTAGAATACCTCTGTTTTTCCTTCCTTCCTTCCCTCCTTCCTTCAACACATATTTACTGAACACCTACTTTGGGCCAGGGCAGAAATAGTGCTGAGAGTTGAGTGGGGAGCAAAAAGAGACATGGTACATCTCTTCGGGGAGCTTACAGTCTACAGAGGGAAGTAGCTGTAATCAGATAATCATATAAATAAGTTTAAAATTGTAACTAAGCTAAAGTGGTGGGAAGGAGAGGTACTTGGTGATATAAGAACTCAAAACAGGGAGACTAGGCTTTGTCAGGGAGGTCAGGGAAGGCTTCCCTAAGATAGTGTGGCTTGAGCTGAAATATGATGGGTGGGAAGGGGCTTAACTAGGTGAAAAAGAAGAGGCAAGAGCATTTTAGGCAGAGGGGCAGCATATATAAAGGTCCTGTGGCAGGAGATAGTATGATGAGTAAGGGGGACTGAAAGAGTCCAGTGTGGTTGGAAGAGAGAAAAAGAGGGGAGTTAGGTGAGAAAAGCCTGACAGGGCACATGGGACCAGCCAAGGTAAGGGTGGAACCTTAATCCCTGAAGCCCAGAAGAGTAGTAAGCCCAGAGACAGGACCAGCCCTGTGTTTGAAGATCCCACTCCCTGCCATGCAATTTTCCCCATACCAAACTTGAATAAATAAAAACCACAAATCAACAGTTCCCATAGTTCCATCCTCGTACCACCCCAGGGATCACAGATTAAATCCTCCTTGCTCATGAAGCCTCCCCTGCTTCCCTGCCACCCAGATCTTTCACCAGAGGGCATTGTTTCTGTCTTTCCTCTACCCTGTAGATTTCTGGATGCCCTTCAGTTTGTCCTTTCTCTCTCAATGTGTGGGCCTGAGAAAGGAATGCAGAACTGATCGAGGGCCCAGGAAGGCAAATAGAAAATGATTATTGAGCAAGCTGAAAGCCGCCCAGAACATAAACTCTCACTTTGAAACCATCATCGGACTGAAGTGGAGAATCATAAAACTGAGAATAATGGATATGAAACAACTAAAGTACATTTGCAGTGTTGGACGGCCAGAGGGTATCAGGAGAGCGAGGGCAGAGGCCATTTCACCCTGTTGACAGAGGTATGGCCACCCAGCACTTACAGAGGTAGAACTGAATATTTTTAAAACTGAGTCCTGTGAAGTCGTACTGAATCTAAGCATTATAATTTGCTGGGGGGAGGCGGTGAGAACCAAAGCAAAAAAGGCTAAAGTTTTCTGGACCATTATATATCAGAGCCACACAGGTGCATATGAAGAATCTTACAGATGAAATATTGAATAAATAAAAGCATGTTATACAATAATAATATATATTTTGTTATGATCTATAAAAAGTTTTAAAACATGCAAAATGAAACTATCATTTATGGGTTTCTCCACACGTTATCAAAGCTTAAAGGTATGGAAGGGAATCAGAGCCGCAGCTGTAAGCTGCTGGCTTCCTCTGGAGGAGGAGGGGCCACATTACGAGGATTGGCAAGGAGTGAGCAGGACTGGAGGTGGTACCAGCACCACTTTATTTCTTAAGCTGAGTGGGGGCACGTGATATTTATTACATTATTATTATGGCCTTTTTATATTGATGAAATATGTCCATCCCAATACATTTTTAAGATGAAAAAATGGACAACCTATGTTGCTGGTGAACTACTGATAAGAAAAGGAACGGAAACAAGGACTCTCTTAATGTCTTTCTAGTGACTGATGTTCTATTTAAGCACAAGTTTTAGACAAATTCAATCCCTGGATGGAATAAAATAGTCTCACGATAAGACACGGGCAGAACACTAATAGGCAGAATTGAAGCCCCATTGACAGAGCTTTGTGGGACGAGTTGCAGTCACTGAAACTCCAGCAGGACCCAAACAGGAAGATCCTGGGCACAGACCCCATAAATGCTGAATTTACAGAGTCAGCTCATCCGAGGAGCACTGCATCTGAGCAACTGCCTCATACTCCCTGTTGTATAGGTGCAGACAGTATGGAGTCTTTATATATTTTAGTATTTCACGTGGCATCAGCTTACCTGCTGTTCCAAGGTGGTTGGATCAATAAATGTCACCAGGTCTATGGAAAAGTAACCAACCACATTTCTCATTTTACAAGCATTTCCAATTTTGAGGCACAAAGAACTGAGAACTTGGGGATCCACCGAGGTCTGAGGCATGGTGGTACCAGTAGAGATGAAGGGGCCTTCTGCATGAAGTTGGTCCCCCGTGGACAGCACTCTGATTTCTCCATTGGGCTCGATCAGCATGTCCACTGTCAGGTTGGTGACACTTTCTGCAGGTGGGAATGCTTCCATCGTGCCTCCTGGTGGGAAAAGCATGGAGTAGGTGAAAAGGTGCTCATGAGATTGTGTCCACTTAGCACAGGAGGAAAAAGCCCACGCTTTGGCAGATGGACGTGAGCTCAGATCCTGCATCTGCCATGTCTTGTGAGATTTTGGGCAAGTAGTTTCAATTCTCTGAACTTCCTTTTTCATCATCTATAAAATGGGCATAATAAAACCTACCTCACCAGATTGTTGTGAATCTTAGAGATACTGTATCTATAGTATTTATTCCAGTATTTGGCATATACTAGGACTCAATGAATGTCAGTTTTCATTCACCATAAAGACACCATAAATTCATCAAGGCTGTGCCTATTCATAACATAAACAATGGACTTAAGGACCATAGGCAAATATCTCAGGGGGGAATGAACTGCTCTTTGTCCGCGTTTATGCCTTGATGACAAGTACTCTTTCTGTTCAACTTCACTGCTTTTTGAAGTTTCAACAGGTTAGGACTTTTATCAGGAATAAGAGAACACTGACTGTTATGTCAAAGGACTCCTACACAACGCCAATTGTCAAGCATTTTTTTAAATGTAGAGTGCAGGAGATGCAGCCATTCTTGAAGAAGGGTCCCTGCTGATAATGAGAGCTTTATAATTTATCATACTTTACCTTTTGCTCTGAATAACTGAAATCACAGAGGCAAACCTGATGCTCAGCCACAGCAACAATATGAGCCCTGGATAATTTTGTGAGTTAGCTTAGGGATGTCTACAAAACTTACATGGTCCTGATATTTTGTTGTAGGCCTAACATAAATCTTACTGTATATATACCTTTTTATAGAAAAAAATTTTAGTATTATTTATAAAGAATACGATAGCATCACTTAAAAGTAAAAACAATGAAGTGTTCCCTAGACAGGGCGGCCTCTGGAGCCCGAGAGTATTAAGATAAACTTGGTGCATATTTCACAAAATTGCTGGGATATGACCTCTGCCCACAGGCTTTGAACAGTATATATGGTTAGATCCTGAGATTTTAGCAGTTCTCAAATGCAGCCGTCTGTTACTTTATACAAAAGGGAGTTTCCTTAAGTGTCTATAAGTTTGTTTGGAGCCGGCCCGAAGGAAAGCTGAGTTTCACAAGGCAAACTGTTTTATCTATTTAGTTAGTATGAGATGTGCTTTTCTTTAAATGGGGCCTACTAGTGTGTGCTGCACCTAAATATGAGTTGTTGGGGAATTAGCAAGGTAAATGCAACAAAACAACAAAATCTACAAAAACAAACACAAATACCAATTTCGTCTCTGAGTGAATTAACTTTGCGGCTTTATCTGTCACCTGTGTTTTGAAAGATTGTGCCTCAGTGGAAACACATTATCCTTTATACTTCCAAGATTACTTGAGTTTTTTTGTTTTGTTTTATCTTTGTTTTTTGTTTTGTTTTGTTTTTTTACTTCAAAGTAGCTTATTTGTACTGTCTTCTCAGCATTATGACCATGGCTTTTTCATTCTTAACTTTTTTTCCTTTCAAAGCAATTAATTCCTCTTTTTAAAAAGTATATTGCCTTTGATGCTAGTCCTGTGGCAAGGTAGAAACTGAATGTGTAGCACGTTTTGTAGCCATAAGCACACCTGAGAGAGCAGAAGGGAAATTAAACAGGCAAGAGTGGAAGGTGGTGAGAGATGTGGCACGAGAGTCAGGAAACCTGGGGGGATGGCCCGACTTGGTCAGTGAGCATTTATGCAGGGCCTGCTGTATGCACTGGACTCAGAACCAGGCAGAGGTTTGGAAACACATGACTTCCTAGAACTGGGTTTTTGAGATGTGTTAGCATTGTAGGGTCTAACTGTGTTCCCATTCACTACATATTTGTTGTGTGGTTTTGCCCTAGTGACTTCCTAGCTTTGAGCCTCTCTCTCTGTCTATAAAATTGGCTTAATAAGGCTTGTTGTGCTTCCCATAAATAGTTACCGTGTTTACAACATGGTTGAAAGGAAGAAAGGGTAGAGATGAGCGGGAGGTTGAGGCACAGCCTAAGCTTGTGGTTATACAGCTCAGGTGGGACGGTAGCTGGGAAAACCCTTTCTAAGCTACCCAAAGCTCCCACGACAATAACAAGATTAGAGGACGGTTTGCAGGCTGACCTTGGAAGATTTGGAAACTCCTAAGTCCTGTCCTGGATGCACCTGGAGATCTTCAGGGTCTCCCTCTCCTAACAAAAAGAATCCCTTATTCTTGACCATTTTTGTTGTAGGTACCTTATTTTCTCCCATTTATGTATATGGGGTTGACTCTGTTAGTTTTACTTTTCTGTCAGTGGGTGCGTGTGGAAATTTGTAGAATCACAGAAGTTTAGATTTGAGAGCACATGGGAGATCATGCATCATCTCCCCTTCTCCCTGCACCAGTGAAGAACCGCTTCACATCATGCTTGTTAGATGGCTGACCATCCAGCCCGTAGCTTGACTAGTTCATTAACCTGGTGTTCGCTACTCCCTCCCACTCCACACTGCCTAGCCCATGCATTCCAACAAGCCACACATCTGTCCTTTCTGGTGCTCTCCTATACACTGAGCTAGGATGCATTCCTTGATAAATACACCTGCCAGATCCTGCCAGGACTCCCGCAACAACACAGAGGTAGCCTCTTACTGGCTCTGCTATGTATTCACAGGGTGATTTGGGGTGAGTGACTTAATCTTTTGTACCTCTGTTTCCCCTTCTGTAAAACAAGGGTGATAATGGTACCCACCTGATAGGATTGTTGGGGGATCAAATAAATTAATGTGCATATGCCTAGAATAGTGTCTGGCACATGATAAACACTCCCTGGTGTTCATCATGTTATCTCCACTGTGCTGTGATCAGCGCTGTGCCGTTGCTGCTGCTCTTATCTGACCTCATGTTACAATGTTATCGTATATTAGTGCTAATATAATTGATAAGGGAAATCTGTGTCCTAAGATGGCCGACCGAGCCAGCGAGAGAGAGTCCCAGTCCTTGCCCTGGGGCTCTTCCAGGTCCTTCTTTCTCCCTGCCCTGCCTCGCGCACTCGCCAAAAGTGCCAAGTATGTGGAAGTAGAAATGTATAAATTACCCCCCTTGTTTGTGCTTGGGGCTCAGACCTTTGGAGATCACTCTCCTCTGAGCACTCCTGTGTTAAGTAAACCTCCTATTCTTCAAGATCTCCGAGTACTGTTTGGTTCTTCCGTCGGGTGATCCAGTCCAGGTTCCATAACATAATCACTTTTATTATCACCTGACAGCGGTGAATGGAGTGTGAATAGATATCTTCTGTGGCCTGTTATACTAGCCTCCTCATGTCCTTCACGTGGTAAGTAGGTAAGAATATCTGCCTTCGGTTGTAACCTCCTAAGAGTGAGGAGCCTTGCATGGGCATGTGGTCCCCACAGGGACCTCTGCAACTGGGGACAAGCATCACTCCCTCCATTCTGCCCCTCATCCACAGACCTCCTCACATCCTTAGAGGGTAAAGGGTGAATTAGGAAGATGAAAAGGACAGTGGAGGACCCTTACTTAGAAATTCTGCCTTCAGAACTGGAGGTGAGACCATTTCTGCTGTCTCACAAAACAAAGGGGAAGCGAACATGTATTAAGGACCCATGTTGAGGCTGCGTGGTAGAAACGTTCACATCTGTATTGCATTGAATCCTCCCAGCAACCCCATGAGGTAGGTAAGGGGGGGAACTGGGCCTCCGAGAGTTTTAGAACCTTGTTCAAAGTCAGGGATGAGCTCCATAACCAGGTCATCTGATTCCAAAGCCCACTTGTCAGGGGAAGTCTGAGGTGCAAACATGGGGCTGAATCTTGAGCTATGTCTGCCATGCTTGGTGCGCTCAGCTCCTATTTATGTAAGAGGCTGAGTGCAAGTTAAATATTTAGACAAAGTTTAAAAGAGGGAAAAAAAGTCTGCTTATAGGGGCACTTATGTAAACCAACACAAGAGATGCAAGGTATTTAAATTGGCGTGAGGTTGACCCAAAACTGGAACTCAAGGTTGTATGGACCAATCCTCAGTAGAAACTTTACAGTCTTATTTACCTTGACTGAGAAACGTTTGGAGGAATTTCCTCCACGTCGGGAACCGTTTCTCATTGACTGGCTGCGCGTGCTGTGCTAAAATGCCCGCTAGCTCCTCGGAGATCTTCACCAAAGCTGGCTCCTGCAGAAACAAATTAAATAGAACCACAAGCAATTTTACTACAGAAATGAAAACTGCTTGTGGAGTGATTAAAAACCAGGCCTCCAACAGGCAAAAAAAATGTGGTTACTGTTTACCCAGAGTCAGAAAGCCATTTTGAAATTTTTCTCTAATTTTCCAGGCATTTCAGTTTTCATATTTCAAAGTGATTTGTCCCCTAAATATTGCTGCTAGTCGTGCCTATTGTCTCCGAAGGGCAGCCTTCTGTCTGGACATCAGGAAATCTGGCTGCAGACCCACTGCAGCTGACCAGCTGAGTGTCCTTGGGCAGTGGACCTCTCCACTCTGGGCCTCAGTTTCCCTTTATTGTAAGTAGGGTTTCATTACCCTATCCCCAAGATCCTTCAGACTGGAACGTTTTTTTATTCTACGACACTAACCAGGCTGACCCTGGGAGAAATTATGGAGTTGGAAGGGTCTTTCTTTGGCACCTCCATCTTTTTAAGCTGTGTCCTTTCCCCTGTGTTGGGGAGCCTCCACATCCTAGAGCCATGGGATCAAAGCCTTAAACTTCAGGATGATGCTGTAAAGGTGGGATTATAGGTGGGAGCAGGTTGGAGGAGTGAGGTGGGGAAGGGGGCTGGCATTCTCCACTAGGTCACAGCCTCATCTGACTAGACCTAAGACAAGCCCCTCTACCATCATCAGACAACCCAAACCACAGAGTCCCTTGTCAAAATGAAAACAGCCGGAAATCCCCTAAAGAATGAGATGCCTGACTTTTTGATATAAAAAGCCTCAGGTTGCCAGGGCCACTTTTTTTTTTTTCTGGATAGTCTTAGTAGACTCTAAAAATTTTCAAATAGAAGCCACCTCTTTAGATTTTATTTCTGGCAGAAGTAGGGCAGGGCACTAGATATAAACCATTTGATGGGCAGTATTTATATTCAAAATATGGGACACGGACAAGAAAAACTCGGGCTTCCTTGGGGTTGCTGGTGACCCTCTGGATCTATGTGTGAGTGCTCAGTAATTTGGAAGAATTGGAAAAGAACCCACTGCTTTGGTGAGTGGGGTTGAAAGGAGTCTTAGAAATAATCTGTATACTCATTTATTTTCAACTTCCCTGACATTAAAAAAGTGCCTATCCTGCCCCCCCCCCACCTCCCACCCCCAGCTCCTCGGGATATCTGTTTCATTCTGGGTCCAGAAAAATCTATAATAGAAGACAGATATCTGAGAATATACTCTAGGCAGGTCCAAAACATCTGAATAATTTCTGAAATATTCAGAAAATCCTGGTGGGAGAGTCTCATTAGTTAGCCTAGGAAGTGCTTGACATGCAAAGCAAAAATGCCAGTGAGAAAGGGAGTGTGCCTGGCCAGCATGTTCAGGATGAATCACTGTGCAGCAGCTGGAGGTCTGTTCAGAAGGGTTGGGGAAGCTGGCTCAGGCCACCAACCTTTGCCTTGGGAGGTGGAGGCAGGGAAATTGCTGGCAAAGCCGGGGGCCTTAATCCTTCCATATTCTGCACCATGTACACATTTCCCCTGCTTTTTACCAGACATCGCCTCAGACCTCCAGAGCCCTGCATCTCAATCATAAACAAGCATACACAGCGCGGAGTTCCAACAACCTGGACCCCCTCGTTGTTCCTTCTTGGAACACCGTCCTCCAAACCCACCTTTCTTTTCGTTTGATACTTGTTTCAGTTAAAAGCATTCTACTTTATCGAAGAAGACGAATTGTCTGTGATTCATGAGGTGCCCCAAAGCTGCGACGCCCGACCATGGCTGTTGATTCCCACCCTGCTCAGGGAAAGCCCTGTGTCAAGGAAGGAAGCCTCACAGGCCAGGCCCTCCACAACAGTGGAGTCTTCTTTTCTGTTCACCCATGATTAAAGGGTCTTTCCTGCCCTGCTTCTGAAAAGTGTTAAGACATTGGCGCCGTCACCTGCCGTGTGGCTATTCACATTAGGACAGTCCAAAGAGAAATAGTTCATTTATTCATTTACTCATGCATATATCAATAAATTACAGGTATGCGGAGCATTGAAATCACAGAGACAGAGTGTATAGTGGTGGCTGTCTGGGACTGGGGGCGGGGGGTGGGATGGGGAGTTGGTGTTGCATGGGTACAGAGATCCAGTTTTACAAGATGGAAAGAGCTAGGGAGATGGATAGTGGCAATGGCTGCCCAGGATTACGAACATATTTACGACCACTGGGCTGTACACTGAAAAATGTTAAAGACGGTAAATTTTATGTTATATATTTTTACCACAATTAAAGAAATGGGAGGAAAAGTGACAAAATGTCAGGCCTTCCTTTTAAGTAGCTGAACTAGGGGAAAAGGGTGCCTGTGTGTTTTAGGGGATGGAGATGGAGTGGAGTCAGTGAAGGAATAGGTGGAAACCTTGCTATCTAAATCTTGAAACTAGATCTCCATCAACTTGAGGATCAAGCTGAGACTCCCCAGACAATGCATGAAGAGGGGCCACTGTGACTTGGTCTGTGATTCCTAAGGTAGCCTCCCCACTCTCCTCTCCAGCTCCCAGCCTTGCCCCAACCTCCCCTGGTTGAGTCTCTTTCCTTAGCCTGCCTTCCTTTACTTCCTCCCCTGGCTGCCTCCTCTTCCTTCTGAGTTAGTCCCGGTCACACCTCCCCCAGGAAGCCTTCTGGGTCACCAGCTGGGTATCCTTTCTCTGTCTCTCCAGCTCTGTGGGGGCTCCCTCATGGTGTGGCCAGTGGCTTTTGCCCCAGCGCTCTGCCCCAGTGCTCTGCACAGGGAACACTAAATGTGGAATGAATCATGGACCCAGCCCCAAACAGCTGAAGTTCCAGAATAAGGGAAAATGTGAAACCTCTCAACAGGCCTCCCTCCTTGCTGCCTCAGACACCTGGGGGCATGACCACTTAAGAACCACCGATGCTTCCTGGGTGGATTTTATGGGATTCCCTGCCTCTGAGGGGCATTGGGAAGATAAATGAGGTGACATTTATGAAGTGCCACTTCAGATGCAACACGCTATGTGAGGGCCAATAATTGAGGCTTGTGTGAGGCATCTGGACACTGTGCCAAGCGGCCGCCGCTGCCTCTGCTCACACAGCCAGCCATTCTGCCTGATCCGCAGCATTTACGCCGTGCACAGAGCCACAGCAAGGGGGTAAATTTCCTAGAGGAAAGTCTGCTGCAGGAATCTGGAGGATGAATCGTGTCCCATCATGAGAAGTACACAGCTGAAGGCACTGGTGGGGTAATGTTTGCTAGGGGATGCTGGGGCACATGGAGGCAGCTTGGGGCCATGATTAACTCTCTAAGAAAAAGATATGGTTTGGAATAAGGGGGAGGTATTAACTATTCCATAAATTTATTTTGAAAGCTTCTTTTTTTTTAGACTTCAACTTATTTTATTTTTTATTTTTTTTTGATGTAGTGTTCCATGATTCATTGTTTGTGTATAACACCCAGTGCTCCATTCAGTACGTGCCCTCTTTAATACCCATCACCAGGCTAACCCATCCCCCCACCCCCCTCCCCTCTAAAACCCTCAGTTTGTTTCTCTCATGGTTCCCTCAGAGTCCATAGTCTCTCATGGTTCATCTCCCCCTCCGATTCCTCCTGCCTTCATTTTTCCCTTCCTGCTATCTTCTTCTTCTTCTTTTTTTTTTTTTAACATATAATGTATTATTTGTTTCAGAGGTACAGGTCTGTGATTCAACAGTCTTGCACAATTCACAGCGCTCACCGTAGCCCATACCCTCCCCAATGTCTATCACACAGCTACCCCATCCCTCCCACCCCCCACCACTCCAGCAACCCTCAGTTTGTTTCTTGAGATCAAGAATTCCTCATATCAGTGAGATCATATGATACATGTCTTTCTCTGATTGACTTATTTCGCTCAGCATAATACCCTCCAGTTCCATCCACGTCACTGCAAATGGCAAGATTTCATTCCTTTTGATGGCTGCATAACCACATCTTCTTTATCCATTCATCTGTCGATGGACATCTTGGCTCTTTCCATAGTTAGGATCCAACAGTACATTAAAAGGATTGTTCACCACGACCAAGTGGGATTTATCCCTGGGCTGCAAGGTTGGTTCAACATCCGCAAATCAATCAATATGATATAATACATTAATAAAAGAAAGAACAAGAACCATATGATCCTCTCAATAGATGCAGAAAAAGCATTTGACAAAGTACAGCATCCTTTCTTGATCAAAACTCTTCAGAGTATGGGGATAGAGGGTACATACCTCAATATCATAAAAGACATCTATGAAAAACTCAGGGTACATACCTCAGTATCATAAAAGCCATCTATGAAAAACTCACAGCGACTATCATTCTCAATGGGGAAAAACTGAGAGCTTTCTCCCTAATCCCTAAGGTCAGGAACGCGGCAGGGATGTCCACTATCACCACTGCTATTCAACATAGTATTAGAAGTCCTAGCCACAGCAATCAGACAACAAAAAGAAATCAAAGGCATCTGAATCGGCAAAGAAGAAGTCAAACTCTCACTCTTTGCAGATGATATGATACTTTATGTGGAAAACCCAAAAGACTCCGCCCCAAAACTGCTAGAACTCATATAGGAATTCAGTAAAGTGGCAGGATATAAAACCAATGCACAGAAGTCAGTGGCATTCCTATACACCAACAACAAGACAGAAGAGAGAGAAATTAAGGAGTCGATCCCATTTACAATTGCACCCAAAACCATAAGATACCTAGGAATAAATCTAACTAAAGAGGCCAAGAATCTGTACTCAGAAAACTATAAAATACTCATGAAAGAAATTGAGGCAGACACAAAGAAAGGGAAAAACGTTCCATGCTCATGGATTGGAAGAACAAACATTGTGAAGATGTCAATGCTACCTAGAGCAATCTACACATTTAATGCAATCCCCATCAAAATACCATCCACTTTTTTCAAAGAAATGGAACAAATAATCCTAAAATTTGTATGGAACCAGAAAAGACCCCGAATAGCCAGAGGAATGTTG